CCCCAAAACCCCAAAACCCCAAAACCCCATTTGATTCTTTATTGAATAAAATAGAAGAAGGATCAAATTTATTTATTAAAATAAGCAAAAATTATTAATGATAAACATATCTTCAAAATTAAATTTGGTAATTTTTACTCATTTATATCCAAAGTTTAATAAAAGATCTTGTAAACCCAACTAGAAGCCTAAGACAATCAGATTAGCAATTTCCTATCTCGATTTATAATCCCAATCAGGATGTTCTGAATATCTTTAACTTATCACTGCAATATTTTCATAATTATCAATAGTTTTCAAGTCAATATTGCCCTCAATTTTGGCATTCTCTAATTAATTATCTACAGCATCTGGTAATACTAATTACTTTTAGTAACCCAGTTCAAAGTTCTAATTGGTATCATTACTCGCATCATCAAACGTATTTAATTCTACATTATTATTCATTTCTATTTAGACTCCTTCTATTTAATTAAAATTTCCTTCTTATGGATTGCTCATCAGATTATTAGTTTATGCCATAATTTTCGATAATTCATCTTTAGGTTAATCGAATTCAATTGAAATCTATTCATTATTTTATATTTCTTTAGGATAAATTGCTTCCCCATTTAAATTAAATTATGTTCTTGAAATTAAATTCATCCTTGATTATGAAACTCGATTGATAGTTTTAGTATAATCATTTTGATATAAGCTTTTACCAAAGGAGTTATAATATTTTTCATTCAAGGATCATATTTGCCCATTTTGGGCATCAGAATTCTTAGGAGTAAAAGTTTCTAATGTAGGTTCTTAATTAGTTTTGATAATTTAAATGAATTGGCGATTTTTGTAAAAGTAATAAAATATACCACAAACTCCAAATGCTATTCCAAAATAAATAGCATATTTAAAAATCCAACTAAATTTTTTTCCAGATTATTTATCTTCAACTTTTTTATATTAAATTGAATATACTGGATTTCTTTCAGGATCACCATAGCCATCATTATCTTTACTTTGAATTTTTACTATTAGATTTTAAGGTTGTACAAAGCTTTGAAAAATTGCTTAACAAATTGAATCATAAGGTAAATTTTCACAATAAGAGCGAATGTCATTTTTTCTAAATTTTTCTATCATTAAAACTTGTTTCGCTAATATCATTAAATATTTGTTTACAAACATCTATTAGCCAATATTTTTTTTGTGTTCGACAATTTACTATTTTTATTCCATAGTTGGTCTTCCATTAACTTAATTACAGATTTCTAACCAAGGTATATTTTAAGGTTCTACCATTATCATTACCGAATAAAAAACTGATATTAAATCATCTCCTTATAGTGAAATCAGATCTTGAGTTGTATAAATTGATGAAGTTGCAGGAGTTCCAACATTATCTTGCTGCTTGTTAGGATCTTGAGCACCATTCTCTAACTTTTTAGCTGATCCGAAATCTATCAGATAAATCTAAAATTCATTGCTATTTTCCAATTTTTCTTTCACTCTAAAATTATCTGGCTTAACATCTCGATGTACATAGCCTAACTAATGAAGACCTTTCATCAAATTAACCATTTGCTATACAATCTATTTCAAGACATCATTCTCATTATGCGCAAGTTTCTTTTCCTCACAAAATTCCTCTAAAGATAATGGAAGAAATTCCATCACTAAGTATTGGATCTTTTAACCTTCCTTATCTTCGCAAGCATATTTTCCATTGTAATGAACTTAGGGAATGTACAATGCCCTATTTTTATTCCTAGCATTAATATCTACCAAGCAATTTTTCTCTTCTAGGAATTTATAATATCCACTTTCTTTAAAGAGTTTAATTGCAAACTCATTACCCTGTCTATCTTAATAAAGGCATACTTTCCCATAGGCTCCGAATCCTAAATCTTTGACATATGTATATTATTATATTAGTTTAGGTGGTTGTAAGTCTTCCATTTAATCAAACTAAATATATGGATGAAATAAATTATTGATCAATTTCTCTTAAATTATAATTCATTTTCACCGCAATTAACAACAATATAAGTTGATGGGGTTTTGGGGTTTTGGGGTTTTGGGG